TGAGCATCCACTGGAGTCTGCAGAGCTGGACGGACTGGCACCCTCCCCTTCAAGTTGTTTTGAAGAACCTAGAATGCCCAAAGCCATTTCACAAGGAGATGGCCGTGCTGAAGGGGTCTGACGACGCTAGCACCTGCCTGCTTTGGAGATGTTTCTGGGGAGGCCCACAGCACACCAGGCACCAGGCTCCTTGGCCCCCAAAGGTCTGAGTTCACTCGTTTGTTCATTCCAGTCCAGCCCATTCCCCTGAATACACTTCATTTATTCATGTGTGCAAGCAGCATGGAAAACGATCCCCTTTGGTTTGGACTGGGATGGGACTCCGAAAGCCGTGAACACCTGGAAGTGGTTTCAGAGGGCAGAAGCTGAAGCCCGGATGGCCTAGGGACCCTCCTCAGAATACCAGTCGGAGGCAAACAGGTCATGGTTCTCCAGACATGCAACTGCTCTGCCACCGGGCCACAGGGCAGCCTGCCCGTCGCATCTCTCAGACCCTCCACTAGAGGCCCCGCCCAGCAGAATGGCTACAACAGTTCCCTCCTCCCACACAGCCTGAGGGACCCAGCTGCATTCTCACCTCCCCACCAGCCCTGCAGGTGAGGAGCCAAGGCTCAGGGAGAGTCGTGGGCAGAGTGGTCAGCAGCAGGGCAATCTGGGTTCAATCCCATTGACGCATCCTGTTATGTAACGCTGGGCAAGTTCATTGCTTAACCTCCAGGCCTCAGTGTCCTCATCTGTGAAATGGCGATCCTCCAGTGCCATGGGTGCCAGGCTTCCTGGGGCTTCACAGGGCCCCCACCTCAGACAGCTGTCATGGCTCCTGAGTGGTGTTCCTCCTGAAGGGCAGCACGCAGAAGTTCCTGCTGGGTTCTTATCACGAGTACAACTCCATACATTTCTTTCTTTTTTTTCTTTTCCTCTTCTATCTATAGAGTCCGTTCAGTTGTGATTAGTAGAAGTAGGAAGGGTGTTAAAGATCACCAAATCTGAGAATCCTGAGTGCCAGCTGGTGGGGTCCAAGACCTCTGTTCCTGGGCTTGACTAAGGGCCTGGCTGCCTCACAGCAAGGTCAATTTCTTGACTGGTACGAGGAGTGTGGGATGCGGCGGGCGGGACAGGCCCAGGGAGAGGACGAGGTCCTCGCCGTGGCCACCAGCAGCTGTGGTTCTCAGTAACCGCAGCTCGGGCTTTTCCAAGGTGCGTCTGTTTGGAGCTCCGTGACTCGGTCAGTTTCACCGGGGATTTGTGCGGTCACCTGACTCGAGGCAGTGATGCACACGTCACACCAGTGGTTCTTGGGGCCTAGGGCTTTCCAGTGACACGGACACTGCAGGCCATCACCACCTGTGCTACTAGGCCAGACTATATCCAATCCCCCCCCGCCCCCCGCCGCAGCTGGCAGGCCCAGGAGCCCCTGATGGGAGACGGGCCACTCAAAAAGCTTGCCACGTCCAACCAGGGTACACATATCAAACCATATCAAACTACTTGGTGACTCTAGGTTTCTGAGGCATCGTTTTGGAAGACAAAATTGCAGGCGCATGTTCACCTTCTCCCCTAGAGTTGGCAAGAAGTGGCTCGTGGCTGTTATGAGGGACGAGTGCCTTCCTGCCCTTGAGTCTTCTCTGGCAGGAAGTCATCAAGGAGCTCATTTCCCTTGCAGAGTGGGGCATGTGGGGCTGGGATGCTGGTGTGGAGTGGAGGACGGGAACTGCAGGAAAGCACTAGCCAGGGTGAGCAATGGCAGCCCAGGGTGAGCAATGGCAGCCAGGGTGAGCAATGGCAGCCCAGTCTCCACCCCCACATGGACCCCATGGCGTCCGGCTCCCTGAAGCCCTGACCCCTCTCTTGGGGCTGGCCGGGCAGGCAGGGAAGGGCCAGCTGCTCAGCCCCTCTGCTCCCCAGGCCCACTTGGGATGGAGGCCAGAAGACGGAGGCCACCAGACCTGGCTCCACTATGTGGTGCCCAGCACTTGGGAAGCAGAGACACTGTGCTCTGGGCGGGATCCTCGGGAGGAACCTCAGCTCTGCCTACAAAGTCCTCCAGCCACTCTTTCTCTGTAGCAAGGCATGCAGTGGGCTCCTAGTTCATCTTGCAAGGCCGCCCGGCCCCCTAGGACTTAGAAGCAGAGGCTGCTTTCCTGACGGGAGCAGCTGTGTAAATGCGGGGCTTCCTAACCTTGAGCCCCACCCCCGCCAAGACTTTCTGGGTCAGCTCCTTGGGTGTCAGGATGGGGCTATTCCTCTAGCCCCTCTGATTTCGGACACTATCTTCTGGTGGCAGCCATGGGCTTAGTGTCAGGACCCTTGTCTCCGTGGCCATTTCCATTTTATGGTTCATCTTTGACTCGTGAACCTGAGGAAGTAAGTGTTGGTCCTGAAATGCAAGTACGAGTTACAAGTCGGCATGGGCCAAACCCAGCCCAAAGTTATGTGTTGTTTACTTTGGATGATTTTACATTTTTAATCAGGAAGTTTACGTGAAAATAAAATCAGATAAAATAGATTTCTTGGCCTACAGCAAGAGACCTGAGTAGCCGGCCACCATGGTCCCCACCACTTGCTCAACAGGGTCTCTTCCACACCTGCTTGGCCCTGTTGGCATGTGACCATGTCCCCGGAAGTGAGAGGTCCCAGGGAGCAAATGCGGCCTGGGGGGCAGGGGCAGGTAGGAGGACACCCAGATGATCTTTAGTCTGCCTTGCCCACTGTGCTGTCCTATAGGGCTAGCACCGAGGCCCAGAGGGCACATTTGACCCCAGCCCCACCCACAGTCTGTGGGCTGGGATGGCTCCCCTGAGCTGCTCCTGCTCCGGGAGCCTTAGATCCTGCAGGGCCAAAGCCCCAGGCCTCGGCCTGGCCCTTCCAGCCTGCGGCCGGCAATGCTCTTCCTCCTCCCCCTGGCACTGGGCGTCTCAGGTTCACCGAAGATTCTCTCACAATTAATGCACTTCAAAAAGGTTAAAAGTAATTCTTCACGGGAGGAATCGGCAGGAAAAGACAAGCAGGAGGGGGTGAGGAGTGGGGTGGGTGGGATGAAGGAATCTGACCAGTTATATTTAATAAAAAGCTTAAAAGCCACAAACAGGAAGCAGACCTATTAAAAAGGCAACACTGACCTAACAAAGGAATGTGAACTTGAGTTGACTGAAGCAGCGGCACTGTGTCTCCCTCCTCGCACTCCTACCCCAGCACCCAGGGCCCCCAAACAAGCCTCCTCTTGTACTCTGGCCTGTTCTGGGGACACCTCAACTCTGAGCTTGCCTTGGGCTAAAGGAAGGGGAGCTGAGGGCAATGTCAGCATGATCCTACACACCCCCCAAAAAGGCAACAGACGGTGCTCTTGTTCCTTTGTCTGGACCAGCAGGCTCCCCCAGCTGGGGGAGGGATGCAAATTCCAGGGCATGCCCCCCACCAACTCCAGGGAGCTCCCCTCCTGCCTTCCCAGTGTCCTGTACCCCTCCTTCTCAGTAAGCCCCCAAAGGTACAGGCCCAGGACCCTGGGAATTGAGGCCAGGACCTTGGCCCACTGGGCTCATGCCTTGTGTGTGCTCCTTGGAACCCAGAGCAGGGCACTGTGGACCCTGGTCTGGCTGAGGTAATGACCAGAGCAGTGGAGAGGAAAGGACAGAAGCCTGAAGCCTGTGGGTGGGCCACTCTGCCTTCCGCAAGGAGTATCTCCAATCTTGACAGAGCTGAACTCCACCCCGACAGAGGCCTCAGGGTACAGTCAAAGTAGATCTGAGTGTCGCGGGGAAACAAGCTTCCGGTGCCTGCTACGCTTCCTCACAAGAGAGCAACTGCCACACAAGACACTCTGGGCTTGCGGAAGGACTCGGCATTCCAGGGCACGACCCTACCTGGAGATTTCACTCAAGGAGCTACACACCCACAGCATGTTGCTGACCTGATCTGAACCTCCCCGTGGCTTTCCAACCCTCACAGACTAAAACCCAGAGTCCCGCAGACAAGCAAAGTACAGCCACATGCTGATGTGAAGTCAGAGTTTCTCCGTAGACTTCAATTCTGCTGTGTTTGAGAAGTGGCCTAACACGATGCTGGTGAAGGAAAGTGGCATCCCGCACGCCTTCCAGTTCGTGCCAAACAACCGGTCCTCAAACGCACACCCAAACTCACTCTTAACCCAGGGCCTTGGCACTTGTTGCCTCTTCTATGGCGTGTTCCTTCCCCTTGGTCAGGGCCCTATTCAACTGTTATCTCCTCAGAGAGGTCTTCCCTGATTGCCCCTGTCCAGAGGTGCACACGCAGTGCTTCTCACCCTCTCCCTGCTTTATTTTTCTGCAATGTACAGTAGATATTCACTGAATGTGTTCCCACCTGTCCCCTCCCACAACCGTGGCAGCCTGCCTGGCGTGCGGCAGGACCCCCAGAAGATGGGTGTGGGGTGAGTGCAGTAGTGATGGAAGGGAGGGAGGGACTAAAGGGATCCCAGGGCTCTATTTCCAAGAGCAAAAGCACACCTTTGACCCCACCACCGACAAGTCCCAAGTCAGATCGCACAGCGGCTCAGCTCCTATTGTTCTCCACCGGGCAAAAAAGTAGGTGGCAACTCATATTCTGGGAAACCGTACTGGCTACTGGGCAGCATGCCAGGCCCCAGCAGACTCTCTCACCAACTCTCCCTCCAAAGCGCCTCCCGGATCAGGATCAGTATTGCCTTTCACAGACAAGCCAGGTCACTCATCCAAGGTCACCCCTGTATGGTTTACAATGGAGCAGGAGCTCAGACTCACACCTTGACCCTGGCTCAGACCAGAGGCTGACTCTACACCAGACCCCTACCCCCACCCCCAGGACCTGCCCTGGCTCTCTAGCCACAAGCCTGAGACCAGAGACCATGATGTTGAGAGGGCTGGGCCCTGTGCATCAGCTCAGGTGGACTGAGCATCCTAAGTCAAGAGGCACTGTCTGTATATGGTCTCTACCACCTCTCCCTGCCCACACAGCACCTGCCAGTGGAAGGAAGGGACTGCACTCACCAGGGATGTGGATCTTGAACTTGCCACTCTGGCCGAAGGCGCTGTCAATGACTCCCAGCTCCCCAGTGGACAGGTTCACCTTGAGGCCCACGAAGAGCTGGATGTTGGTCTCCTTTTTGAACAGGGAGCGGCCGATCACGCTGTGGTCATCCATCACCTGTCCCCACACACCCGGCCCCAGAGAGAGCATCAGTGTATGCTGGAGGAGGCCAGGTCCGCTGCTGCTACCCCCCCCACCCCCCAACCCCACCGAGGGTGATCTGCCCATCTCCCGGATGATGGAACGCACTGGAGCCATGCAGCGACCAGCCCCCATCACCACCGCTGCTGACCTCCACTGAGCCTTGGCTGCTGCCAGGCCGAAAACATTATGTGGATCACACTTAGCATCACAGCAATGGGAGGGAGGCACTCTTTCCTCACTTTACAGATGCAAAATTGCCGCATGGCAGACTTCAGCTATCCATCCAAGGTCACAGAGCTCCCAGGGCAGAGGGAGCTCAGAATCCACAATGGTCCTGCCTGCACCTGACTCTCACCCTTGAACCTCTCCCCAGGCACCGAGCATGGGGAAGGCTAAAGTGTCACTCTCCCCCTACAGTAGATGGCATGGCCTGAAGACCGCCCCCCCGCAACCAGGTGGCTGGCCTCCCCTTCCCTGCCTGGCTCCTTTCCAGAGCCTGTGCCAGGAAGGGGCCAGGCCTCTGCATAAAAGAGAGAGAAAGGGAGCGTGTGCATGTGTGTGTGCGCGCACACATGCTCTTAGGTATTAAAGACTAGCTCCTCTCCCAGATGACCTCAGAAGGGCTAACACAGAGCTCCATCCTGAGATTTGCTTCTACTCTGGAGCAGACCCATGCTCCACCGGGCATCTGGCATGCTGGCTCCCACACGGCTGCCCCTGGGAAATGGGGGTGGCTTCCTCCTGCTCTCCAGGCCCTGTGCACCAGCGTGGGCGCTTCTGGGGACCAGGGCTGAGCCTAAGCAGGCACTAGCCTGGGGAGCAGCGTGGAGACCAGAAGTGCTGCCGGCGGTGGGACCTGCTGTCTCCACGTGCTTTCCTCCTGAGGCTGAGGCTCATGGGGGACCCCCGTGGGCTGGGTTGTCCTCCACCTCGGAAACATCTCACTTCAGCCCAAGACACCAAGGTTTGGCCAAGGGCCCCAGATGGATTGTTTTGAAAGGCAGAAACTGTCCCATTTACCCTAAAACCCTTTTAGAAAAACATATCCTATTCTATTTGATTCATAGCACCAGATAAAAGGTACTTGCATTCCTCCTCTCCCCGGTGATGGATGAATCGGATACAAATAACGATAAGAATAATCATTTCCACTCGCACAGCCCTTTATAATTCACCAATCTCCTTCCCACACATGAACTCCTCCTCGTCCTTCAGGACTCAGATCCAGCACAGCTCCCCTCTGGGCTGGCTTGCCGTGGGCTCTGCCCCATCTGTGGGCACTGCTGGGTGAAATGAAGGAAGCCGTGACCTGCAGGCCACGGGGAGCGAGGGCAAGCAGATGTCACCAGCCCCAAATGCTTTCCCGGGCTTCCCGGCTCCCAGGAGTCCTGTCTCCACACCCACCAGGGTGGCCTGCACGTGGAGCTCCATTCCCAGCCTGGCCGGAGCCCGGGAGGCAGGGCTGCCTCTCACCTTTGGCAGCCTAGCCCGGGTACTGGAGGGGCCCAGGATGTTTAGCTGAACAGACCCGATGGCTCCGGCCTAGCCATTCCATGCTCCCCGTGACCAGAGCAGCTCAGTGCCACTTCCTGTCCCAAGCTTAGCCTGTGCTGCAGAGAGGCCGCCTGTCTTTAGGAGAAAGAGACTGCCTCGGGGCCCCCCAGCCTAAGACAGAGGCATTTAGGGAGGACCCCACTGAGCCCTCGAGCACTCCTGTCTACAAGGGGTTTTCATTACTACTTCAGGGCGGTTCGAGGCGAGACCTGAGAGAACTGTAGTTGCCAGGGCCAGCGGCACAGTGGAAGCGCAAAGCCAAGCGTGGCGGACTTCTGCAAAGCCTGTGCTGCAGCATTCGGGAAGAGTGAGGCTGCACCGACCACCGCCCGCCCCAAGCTGGAGAAGCAGGCAGGTCTGGGGCTGCTGCGATGCCCCAGGGCACTCTGGGCAGGATGGGTGGGTTCCAGGCCTTTGCTGGCCCATGAGACAGAGCCAGCTGAGACACAAGCCCTGTCCCCAGCATCATGGCTGGCTGAGAAGTGACAAAAGACACAGTCCTTGCACCAGGAGCTTAAGACCTACCTAGAGAATCATCTCATAAAAGGCACCCAAGGGACCCAATGGGCAATCCAGGCAGAGAATTCACCCCAAATTCAGAATGTCCTTCCTTCCTTTCTCCCTACAAATACTTATGGAGAGCCTACCCTGCACCCAGCTATGTCACCGAGGACAAATCAAAGCTCCTGCCTCAAGGGGTTTGTGCATCTCCTTCTGGAGGTAGTTATATTCTCCCTCCGCCCCACTACCTTTGGACTGCTCACTGGCAGACAGGGTGTCCCCATCTTGGGCAGGCCCCTGGAGCCCAGCAAGGGCCCCAGTCAAGGCCTTCATGCCTGTGTCCCCCTGCACCCTGGCCCTGCTCCTTGGCATGTCCTGGTCCTGTCTGTCTTCAGAGCACAGATTGTTCCCTGAGATGACACCAGAGCTTTATCTGTTACTCGTTTATTCTTCCCAAACAGGACCCAGGTCTGTGAAAGCAGAGACAGGTCTCTGCTCTCCACAGCCGCATTTCCCCATGTAAACAGCACTTACTCTCTGTGCACTCCTTGAATGTCTAAGTCAAAGTTGAACACGTGCTTAACTGTGATCGTCGGCACATGTGCAATGCTCAGTCCTGCCTGTGGGCTTTCATTTTTAACACTTCATTGAGGCATAATTGATACATAACAGCATGTGCACATTTTAGGTAAAACTTGATAATTTGAGATACACAGCTACCCATGAAACCATGACCATCATCAAGGCGGTGAACCTAAAGAACACGTTTACATTCCCCCACCCCCTTCCCAACTCTATACCTGCCCCAGACCCCAAGCAGTTCTTCCAGGCTCAGCTTGGATGAGCTCTTCTCAGACAGCCTCCCCACACGGCAGCCACCTTCTGTCCCAAGGCCTGACCGCTCTGTCTCATCGCAGGTAGTTGGCCTGTCTGTGTCCCTCACCGGACGGACCAGGAGTTCTCTCTCATGTGGCCCTGAACCACGACAGGTCCAGTACATATGGACATGATACACGGATGGGGAGGGAGACGCTGGTGACAGAAGGTGACTCTCGGCTCTTTGGGGCCAAAGAAAATCACTTGAGTGGACTTGTGGTGGGGTGGTACGTTTCACCTGAGAGGGAGCCAACAGCCTCGTCTTGCACCTAGTTTCCCCGCATGCCCCAGTGCCGGCCGTTCCTGGAGCACAGTGGGCCATCTCTTGGCCTTCCAATGGGCCTGGAAGTTGGGCTTCATCGTGACTGGGGCCATGAGGTGGGGGGCAGGCATGCTACCTATTAGCAAGAGGGCATTTCAGAAGACTTCCTACTGCATCTTCTCCCCTGCCCTCCCTCTTCCTTTTGGTTATGGAATATTAACTTAAAAAGCAAAATGCCACAGACAGAGAGAAGGATCCATCTTCCCCCAAGCCAAGGACTTGCAAGGAGGGCAGACTAATTTTATTAACTACAGGGGAACTTCAAAAAGCTTCAGGGCTTTAAAGGCAGACAGCAACGACCCCAAAGTTGGTTTAAGTGCTACATAAACAAAAGCCTAGGGCTGGGGAAGCGGGGGTTCCCGGAACTTCTTACGTTCTCATCTGACCGAGTGGGGCCAGTGTGCGGGCTGGTGGGCCCTGCAGTCCTGCTGGTGTGTGGGGCTGGTCAGTTCACTGACCTACATTACCACAATATTTTTTTAAGCATCCGGGATAAGGTGAGGAGCGAATGAGCTTTTGCTGACCCTCAAGGAGGGGTCCGAGGAGGCTCCCTCTTGCTTGCCACTTTGTGGCCTCCCTGGGGCTGGAATGGTGGTTTAGAAAGGATTCAAGTTCAAAGGGAGTGCCCATGTCACTCCTCTAGTTTTATACTTGGCCAGAAGGCCTAATGGCACTGTGGTGGAATGTCCCCTCCTGCTAACTTCTGTGTCTTCAATTCCACTTATAGGGTCAGGCAACGTGGGTGAGAAGGCTGGCCTTCGGTGCACTGTCAGGAACCCAGGGTGGTCTTGGGAACGCTGGCACCCCCACCCTCTGCCTGCTGATGGTCTGTGCTGTCATTTCCAGCAGCCTAAGAGGATCCTTCCAGGAGCCTGAAGATGGCTTAGATGGGCACTATGGACATGAGCTGCCAGGACAGTGAGAGAAGCTGGCAGCAAACTCCTCCCTCAGACTATCCAGCTCTCAGCACCGCCTCTCCCATCCTCCCCTCAGCAGACGAGAGCCACAATTTGTCCTCGGCCATGCTCCGGGAGAGGCACCTCCACAGCATTAGTGAATCTTCAGAAAAGTCCTATAGGATTTCAGCAAAGTGAAATGACTTCCCCAGAGTCACACATTCCAGCTTTCCCTACACTCACCCCCATGGCATGAGAGCAGAGGAGAAGGAGGTGTGGCAGCAATGAACGAGCCCAGCCAGGGCACTCCCCACCCTCTGGGCTCCCCTGAGCCATGCCAAGACCCGCTGGACCCAAACTGGCTTGCAAATCCAGTCCCGTTCCTGCCAGTCCCAGCTCCTGAAAACCCCAAGCCACTGGAGGAGCCACCAGCAGAGAGGGAAGACAGATGGAGTCTGGCCGCTACATGGAAGGAAGTGAGGTGCAGCCAAAGCACCCCGCGAAGGATGACCTGCCAGCCCAGTGGGCACGATGCAACAGGAAGGGGGCTGGCTTCGTGGCTGTTGAAGTGCTTCTGGTCTGTTCCGGGGCTACCCAGGGTGGAGGCTGCCAGGCCCAGAATGCACTGAAGACCAGTGAGGCAAGCTGCAGACCCCCCAGGGCCTCCCCAGTTTCCTCATCCACAAAATGAGGTTGGAAGGAGGGTAAGCTTTCCTCCACCTATGGTTATGGGGCCAAGAGGCAAGTTACCTTTCTGGTGAATTCTAGTACAACCTGGGAGATACGGGCACACTGGAAATAAGAAAGAAAGAAGGCTAAGGGGA